ACTTGGGCTCTCGCTCCAACTTGTCTGCTGTTCTATTCCTCATGATTGGGGGCTCAGCAACCCACGTCCTATCTCGCCCAATGCTAGCATGAAGTCGGGCCGATCAAAACCTGTAGCAACTTCAATTAGCTATCCATTTTAATGCATTTTTAAGGGGATCATAAGGTTGTGGAGCTCACAAGGAATGTCTCAGTAAATGTTTTTGAGATTTGCTCCTATTTCGGTTCTGAATTTTTTCATTCCAGACCTCTTGCACAGTCGTACGCCATGTGTGGTCAGTCGTCGCCTGCAGCCCCTTGGTGACGAAGGTCCAGACAGCTATCGCATACGAGCGAAACCACTGAACCTTGCTCATGACAATATGCTTCAAAAATTCCTTCATGCACAGAGGTGAGTTTGCTAGGTCGCTTGAGAAACTTCTCGGGATGTGGGTTTCATGTTACTGAAGCATGATCTGGTGTAATTCGAATTAATACACATGAACTCACAACCAGTCATTTTATGGCGCGCGGGAGTATGAACCTACTATTCTGTGACAATAATTCGCTAATAACTCGGATGGAAAACAGAAGAGATTTAATGCGAAATGTCGGTCGTCAAGAAGTGATGGATCGAGAATACACCTCTAATAAAGAAGATACTCGCTGGAACATACATACATTGTCCTAGAATGCCAGCGGTTCCCAGACGCCGCGATAAACATCTTTCGTTTCATATGCAAGTTTGCAACTGGCCTTCAAATTATCCCAACCTCAATGAAGTATGAGGTATAAAGTCTTCGGCGCTGATCACTCCCGTTATTGGGATCGCCCCCGCCTCCGATTTTCTTCAGAATCGTAGTGGCATGTTGCATGTGTATGTGACTTATACAATGACCTGCTGACCAGCCGATGCACAAACCAGTGCTCTTATCCTCCCAGACGGATCTGCTACCAACTCACCCACTCTAGGGGGATGGAAGACTTGGCAGCCTAGGCGGATGAGGTGGATGAGAATGTATTTTTGGTCAGAAAGATCTTTGCAAGAAGAATATTGATCTGGAATGCTAGTCAATGCAAGAGGAAGCATGAAGTAATCCTCCATCTGTCATGTGCAAGTTCTCGGCTTGTTTTCGGATCCACAACCACACTATCGAAAAACGAATAGATCACGACGCTCTTCATAAAGCAGTCGGAATACGGCATTGAAATGCATCTTTGTCGCCATTCCTTGACTTATCACTTTATAGCCTGGATCACAATGAATGGTCACAAATTAGCTAGGGTGCAGAGGCATGGCGCGTCCTATACGGTATTGCTATGGGAATGCTACTCGATTGAGTTAGAGCGCTTATTTCTTAAGGGTTGACATCAGTCAAAGATATGAGGAAGTGTTTGACGAGGACAGTTACGATCGCATACGACAATGGGAGAAACTCAAATATGGGATCATACCGACACAACAGAAGGTTAGTGCTC